TCAGTGTTTGCCCAGTCCAACTCAAGGAACTCTATTTCAACATTTTGCAAGCTCACATATAAGGAGTAGCATTCGGCCTTAAGGTAATCATTGAATGCTTCAATCTGGACAAAAAATTAGTTTAGTGTTGATAATGGTTTAAAGTCAATATATAGGTAATGATAAGAAGTTCAAGGTTTTTTTTTATCAATTTTACCAACAAACGTGGACAGTCTCCATATTTGTCACTCTCTGAAACACCAACTAGCAACTCCTTGTTGTCTATGATCTGTAATTTATGTTGTTTTATGTTGAAGCAGACCAAAAAGTAGTGACAATGGCGATGAACTGCGAAAAATATCTAATTCCAATTCAAAGTTAAAGCAATGTTAATATTTTTTGGACATGATAAAGTCAAATTGGACATGGGTAATAGAACTTACTAATTCTGCGTCACTGATATCAAGGTTCCCAAAGCTGGATATTTCATATCTTAATCGTTCATTGAAATTCTTGTTTTTTATGTCAGTTGGGAGATCCTTCATCCACTGGTCATTTGGATCAATCTGCAGCTGTATACACAAATGCAGGAATGAGTATTCATAATTCATACACTATACTTTGAAAATGTTAAAGTTATACATACAGAATTACATAACTACACTTCCAGAATTGCATAACTATATATCCATAATTGCAAAAACTATAATTCCACAATTGCAAAACTATAATTCCATAATTGGATAACTACACATCCATAATTGCACAAATAAATACCCATAACTACTTTTAGTGTAATTACTGTTATATAACTCTTAATGTAAATTCAAATTTTTAAAATAGGTGTTTGCAAGTCAAATACAAAAAAACACTTACATGTACTAGTGTGAAGAAGTAGACTCGATTTGTCTCCCCAACTGCACGGGATGTGTTTAGCAATGTAAAATGCAAGGACCAGACATCTAAGAAGCTGCTGAGTATCTCACCATTGCTCAGAATGGCAAAGTCATCCCTTGATAAGTAGTAGTCACCGTATTTGAACAATATCTCTCTACAACACAATAAATAAATAAATAAATAAAATAACATAAATTAATAAATAAAATTCATGTAAAATATGTGGATGGAAACATACCCTCCTGGGTGCTCAGTTGAGGTTTCCAAAAATGTGTAGTTTGAAATGACCTTTTCTTTGGGAGTTGCATTATGGATGGAGCCTTTATTCTTCGTCCAGTACGGCGACCTCAAATAAAGTGGGATGTTTCTGAATTTCCACACAGGTCTTTTTCTCACGGTGACATCTTCGACGTCAGATTTGCTCTCTTGCATAGCACTGTTGTTTACAAAAAAACATAGGCAGTTATGATACCATATATTCATAAATAAAGATCCATAAACTAACAACTATACATCCAGGATTGCATAACTACAAATTCATAACTTCACAAGTATAGATCCATAATTGCATAACTACACATCCATAATATGAAAACTATATATTCATAATTTGAGAACTATATATCCATAATTGTAACAATCAATGTCAATAGTTGAATAAGAACATATTCATAATAATCAAACTTCATATTCATAAATATTGATCAATTGAACATCATATTCATAGTTTAAACCTACATAAGAAAGCATTAACCTACCTATCAAAGTCATCAATCTCAGCAGCTTGGGCAACAGGTGTAGTAGGAGTGGTGGATTTTTCAAATGGCACTCTAATTAGTGATGGAGTTGCTTCCTTCTCCTTCGAGGTTGATACTCGTGCACTCCTCCCAATTTTCTCCACCATGATGTCCAAAGGTTGCTCTTGAGATTGTGGCGGTGTTGGAGTAGAGCACCCAAGTAGCTCAAACGACAGGGGTTCTAGTTCCATATCTTTTCTTGTTTTTTCAAAGGCTTCCACCAAAGAATTAACTGCTGCCGTGAAGCTTTCACTTCCGAAGAATATGTCATCCAGTTGCGAGGCAGTTGGGCTAGAAGTGGGTTGAATCGTGCTTGCAGCAATCAGCATCGTGGAGATTCCCGAAAAAGCCTTCTTCATATCTCAACTGGTGCCCCTTGCATGCCGATATCAGACATGACCTGACCGAATTCCAGTACATCTGTTGTAAGCCTCTAAAGCACACATGTCACTCTGTCAACATCAGAGAGTGACACATATTGAGTTGGAACGGTTGGTGTAGCAACAGGGCTGGGTACTGGTTTAGGTATCGCAGCAGCAGCAGGTGCAGGTCTGGGTGATGATGTTGTTGCAATGGTGGTTGGCCTTTGAAATCTAGGGATAACTTTCCCCTTTCCAAACCCCCCTGACTTTATTTCAGCTGATACCCTCTTACGTACGAGCATCTTTGTCCAAGCTTTGATTGCAGGGAATGTTCAGTTGACAATCATGCCTTTGAACTCTACCTGGTCGAAGTAGAACAGCTTCAAAAATTACAGAAGAGCATGTTAAAGAATTGAATAACTACACATCCAGATTTGCATAATTACACATGCATGATTGGATATCTATAATTCCACAATTGCACAACTACACATTCAGAATTGCATGACCACAAATCCATATTTGCATAACTATAATTCCATAATTGCAAAACTACACATCCAGAATTGCATAATTATAATTCCATAATTCCATAACTATAATTCCATAATTGCAAAACTATAATTTCATAACTGCAAAACCACACATCCATAATTGCATAACCACACATCCATAATTGCATAACTATAATTCCATAATTTCATAACTGCAAAACTATAATTTCATAATTGAAAAAATACACATCCATAATTACATAACTAGACATCCATAATTGCATAACTATAATTCCAAAATTTCATAAGTACACATCCATAATTGCACAATTACACATTCATAATAGCATGACTACAAATCCATATTTGCATAACTATAATTCCATAATTGCAAAATTCACATCCAGAATTGCATAACTACACATCCATAATTGCATAAATATAATTCCATAATTAAAAACACTTTATGTATAATAGGATCTTATCAGGATGAATACCATTGGCACTGCAAAGGATCTTGTAGGATGTTCCTTGTAAATCTCAATTGAATCAATCAGAGACATGTATGTGTATCGGCACCAATTCTGTCTTGGAATTGCCCGAATGTTGATTAATGACTTAAGAACTCTGTAGTTGGCATATCTTCCAGTGTTTCCTCGGAGTAGGCAGGAAACAACGAACACCACAAAGTCTCTCTTGAAAGATCACCATGGTCACTTCTTCTGATTATCTCATCAGGCATCTTGGTTGTTATAGGTCGTATGCATCCGTATGCACCAAGGATGGTGCATACAGATGCACAGCATAACGATTGCCTAAAGAATATAATAGTATATGAATTACTTAACCAAAAATGTATAAAATTGCAATTGTATAATACATTATTGAAAATTTATTTGTGTACGACAAACATAGTCGTACTTCCACATAGTACATTATCCGCACTTACAGAGGATAAAGTAATTCAATGAATACATTACCGTTTGATTAGATTTTCCATTAATTTGAAGATGTATCTTGCTCTTTGTTAAACCTACTCAAAGTTATACTAACATTACCTTCAATAAATGTAGGGATAAAACAATGTACAAATTATACCCACCCGACACTTCATCTTCTCTCTCAACTCCCGTCAAGGACACGATCGTTGATCCACTTTGTCTGAACACCTTCGTTCTACCCTCATTTCTTCGATCTAAATTGATCTACACTGTCCGAACACTTTTCATATATATATATATATATATATATATATATATATATATATATATATATATATATATATATATATATATTTTGCTTCAAATACATATATATAACAATAATTTTTAGTCAATATTACAATTCCTATTTTATGAGAGGTCAACATTTTCTACAAGAAAAAAAAAACAAATCATTAAAACAACTGCCATAACATATAAATCTCTTTATAAAAACCTATATACATGCTAATACTATACAATTAATACCTAGTACCATATACCATAAACAAATAAATTTAGAAATTCAAAATACAAAATTGAATATACAACATATAACATATTTAGCCCGAAATACATTACACATTTACACCCAATTATAAAATGAAACCAGTCCAATCCAAAATACATTCTATACACCAATAATATTAATTGGCCAATAGGATTGTGTAGCCCATCTCATTTTAAAACGCAGCCCAACCCAAATGATAAACCTAAACATAAGTATTTAATATGGGAAAATGGCACTTTTTCCCCCTATATTATATATTTATAGCACTTTTTCCCCCTCAATTATTTAAGTGACTCTTTTTCCCCCTGAAATGTTAAATGGACATATTTACCCTTAAAATAAATATTTCATTTATTTTTATTCTCCAATAAATTATTACTATAATTTGGTTCAAACCAGATACTATAGTAACCAAACCAAAATATTCCAATTACAATTTATAATCAAAACGCGATATTTAGAGTTTATTAAAATCACGAACTGGAATGGGCGGTTCATGTTCCAAACTGAAAAAATAAAATACATTTATTGTTGAATTTAAACTATTTTAAAATAAAAAATAAAATTTTAAAATAAAGACGGTTCAAAATCGCGAACGTTTTTTTATTCTTAAATTTAATAAATTGAAATCCAAATATTGGGTTCTAGATCTGAATCATAACTGAAAACTTTTAATTCGATTGCTATAGTGTCTGGTTCAGTTCGAACCGAACCGTGATAATCGCTACATATACGCAATAATTTGTTGGAGAAGTAAAGTAAATAAAATGTTTACTTTAAGGGTAGAAATGTCAATTTAATATATTAGGGGAGAAAATCACCACTTTTAAAATAATTGAGGGGGCTAATGTGCTTACATAAATAATTGAGGGGGAAAAAGTGCTATAAGTATATAACATAAGGGGGAAAAGTGCCATTTTCCCATTTAATATTAAATCGTTTATCTTCCCCATTTATGACGCACAGATCCTTATCTTCTCTCAATTGTTCCAGACCTTTCGATTTTTCTCCATTGTTTTTCCAAGATCAGTGGTAAAATCTAGTCACATATAGCTTCTTCACTTCGTGTAACAATTCGCCCAACAATGCTTCTTCTACTCGATTCGTTGTTCAACACTTTAGGGTTTTCATCTCCATTATTTTTTTTTTTTTAGCCCCAAAAGCGGGTGAAGGTTGTTCGTTCCGTTAGCCCCAAAATTGATTCTGCCTCCGATCAACAGTCCATTCAGCGCAACTAAAACCTAGTTGAATTCAACCCCCTAGCCGCGAAGTCAAATGAATCGGGAAATAACAAATGCTTCTACCAAACGTCTTCTGGATGTTATGTCGCCGGCCAACGGATTGCGAGAGGGGCGCAGGCAAAACTTGAAGTTTAAGCACTACGCCGGCAGGTCCCATGGTAATCCTGCCTCTAAAGGTACAGATACTATCTCGTTTACAATTTCCTTCTTCGAAAGTGGGCTTTTATTTTTTAAACATGAATTCAAATTTTATGCTACGTATAATCATATTTTTTTTTTACATGAACTTCAATGCGAAATAGTGATTTGTATGCTGTAAACTTTTATAGCCATTTGTAATGCTGTGTCCGTTCTATGTGCTTAATGAATTTGGTAACCTTAACTAACTCACTGTTACCCTGTGCAAGTTTATAGTATTGTTATTATACTGTGTCATTTTGTTATATGAAGAAATCTACCTTTATAGTTTGGAGAGATTGCTTCTTTGTAATTTCTGGCAATCTACCTTGTGAACAAATAAATATGGATAATGAAATAAGGACATTTTCACATTTAGTTAATATATTAACATACAAATCTTTATTCATAATTACTGATCAATTTATCTATGCACACAGACGATATTAGTAATCTATTTACACGTGTTTACTGTATGACAACTTCTGTGTTTACAAAACAAAATCTAGGGTTTAATACATCAGACCTTTTTAGACTGCTGCAACTTGGTGAGGAAGAAGATGATTAATAATCTATTTACCCATGTGTTTACTGTATGACAACTTTTTGTGTTTGCGAAATGAAATCTAGGGTTTGAAATCTGCCTTAATTAATTTGAATTACATATCAGAATTGGAAAGGTTTACAACACTATAAATAAGTACTGCCAATAAGTACTGCCTTTGCCCAGTTTAAGTACAGGTTCCTGTATATGGAGAGTGAAGGAAAATAGTGGAGATGTATATGGCAGGTTGGGAATGCATTCACAAGGAGAAAGAAGAACACTTGTGTACATTTGGTAAAGCTCTGTATCGCCTTTCAACTTTGTTTTGAATAAAAATATAATTCTAGAAATATGTTAAGGGATTCAGAAGTTTCTGGAAAACATTCCCAAATAAATTGGAACTTAAATGTAAGGTATTAGGAAAATCTATGGACTCCATATGCAATTTTTTGTGCAGTGTCAGTGTGGTTTGTTCATAATAATATTTTTTTTTTCAGAAATTGAAGTGGGTTATAATTTGACACAAGTTGCTTGAATGGAAGACTCGGAGACGTCGAGGCAGAGAGTGGAGATGCCGGGGAGAAGCGGAGAAGTTGAGAGAGGAGAATCGGAGGCTACGATGCTGTGAGACAGAGAGACGATGATATGGGTAGCTTGAATGGAACACTTGGGGATGCCGAGGCAAAGTTAGAGACGCCGAGGCAGGAGAAGAGACGCCGAGGTAGGAGAAGTAGAGACTACAATGCTGTGAAACGGAGATAGAAGATGAGAGAAGTCAACGGCTGAGAGAGTTCAATGGGTGTGGGGGGCAGAGAAGATAGGTAGGAGAGAAGTCAACGGCTGAGAGAGTTCAATGGGTGTGGGGGGCAGAGGGCAGAGAAGATAGGTAGGGTTAAGATTTGTCTGTGTATAACAATTTGTTTCAAAAAAATAGGATAAATATTATTATTCTACATTTAATTTGGATTAATAATTGTGTATTAATAAGATGTGTTTAAATTATTTTATGAATAATCTTTAAAAGTTTAAATTTAATTAAAAGTATATGACAATATTTAATTATTTGCATTATGTTAGAATAGTTTGATTTTATTAAAATTATTTGCATTGTTTAGAATAGTTAAAAATGTGACATAATAATCTTTTCGATTAGTTGTTCTTCAAGTGAGAAACTTTAGTTTATTCAGTTAAATGATTTTTAAAATTTCAGTTAAAATTATTTATATATATTCTTCCAAGTGTCATCTTGCATCATGAACTATATCGGATCGGATTTTTCATGCGGCATCTTGAACTTTCACAAGTGCTAATTCGATCCACAAACCGTTAATTTTTTTTTCGTCTAAAAATTTTTACAAGTTACCTACAGATTGCAGGTAATATATGTTGACATGGACCTTTTTTTTTTTTTTTTTACGTCTAATACCTTGTCTGTTGTTGGGCAGCCGTTGCCACTTCTCCTTCAATCTCTCAAACTCTTTCCTCAACTCCCCTACATTTTCCGACGGGTTCACCTCCACCGGAAACTTCTTCATCTCGCATTGCGACAACACAGTATACGAAGCTTCTTCAAACTATTCGCATTCCCAGAGGATCCCGACGAGGTCATTGTAGTCGCTGGCATCGTCCACTTCGGAGTGATACGAGAGTTCGTAGTCGTGCAACGTCCGATCGTCTAACAACTCAGCTCCATTGACGTAAACTGTTATTCTACTCACTAGAATTCCGTTCGGAATAGTGAACGTTCAGTTAAAAAAATGCAGGTGTACATTCACTGGTGAGCTAGCCAAAAAATAAGAAGCAGGCTGAAATAAACGTAGCCATGGCAGTTTGGTCATCCTTAAAATTATATAATGTTGGAAAAAATGGCTTGTTAAGTAGCTGTTTTGTGGTACAATTATCAGTGGGATCCACTTTCAATTTGGGTCGGGTCAAAGTGGATTCGGGTACTTCGTAGTAAGACGAAGAGATTGATATATTGTACGCTCAAAATAGACAATGGGTGAATGAGATATTGATTCTCAATGTGAATGAGATAATGGGTTGGAATGCGTAGCAATTATTGTATGTATTCATTTTTTTTTTTGTGTTTAGAGCCAAGAATACTACATACTACTCGTGAAACATGCATGAATGGTGTTTCAATTCCAAAAGTGCAAGTTTCCACTAATTCCTGACCTGCCCATCCACCCCTGTTTCCACTAATTTCCTGGAATCATTAACTCGTCGGGGAAATTTTTTTGCACGGGTTTCAAAATAAGGAAATTCCTAAAGTGGGATACAAAACAAGGAAATTGTCTTTAACAAAGGCGAGATTCAAGAAAAGAGAAGTTGCCTTTGGTAAAGGCGACATTATTTATTACAGGAAAAAAATCATCTATGTACAATTATACAGAATGAAATACATATATACAAAATTATACACAATGTAAAACAGATTTTTTTTTATTTTCTTTTATGATATGGATAATGATTAATGCAATTAATAAGTAATGATTAGCAACATAGAATTTAAAAAAAAAAAAAAAAAAAAACGTACACAAATTTTCATTCTGAAACATGCACCCCACGTTGTATCAACCATCCAAAACCACAGCAAACCTTAAACATTAATCAATCAATACAAAACATACACAAATTTCTTGGATTCATAGCACTAACATTTTTTTATTTTTTTTATTTTTTACGAGAGCACTAACACTTTTTAATCTGTAAATTTAAAGATTAAAAAGATTAACTTTTTATAACATCTTAAACCTACGATTTACACTTCATAACCTCAATACATAACTACTCCACAGTCTATACAATCCTCACGTTTTAAACAAATAAAAATTAAATAACATGTATTATTACCTCCAAAATATAATACTATGGTCTACACTGACTTGACTTTTGTTTCTGTACTCCACTAATTGCTGTCTTCGTAGTAAATCTGTCCCACCAAAATGGAGTCAAAACTACAAATATATCAACAAATTTGGGACCACAATGTTCAATGAATTTCTTGAGATATAAGGGAGGGGCCATAATAAAAAAAAAAATGGATAAAAAGAAATTTTGAGAAGATGAAGAATGAGGAAAGGGAGATGAAAGTTTGGCTGATTTGAAAAAGACTTATGGAATTCGTGCATATGAAAGCACCATAATATGGAGTATTATTTATGATGGCTGGAATGTGTGTACATTGGGAACTTGCCTCTCAATGCAATTTTCAGATATTTTTTTTTCTTAAAAGAGGATGCAATAAATAAGGTAGGTGGAGTAAATACGGTGGATTACCGTATTTACTCGGTTCCTGAGCGAAATTAATGGAAAATACTATCTCGCCTAAGGAAAAGGCGAAATACCCATAAACCAATCTCGCCAAAGGAAAAGACACTTTCCCTTCTACGTATCCCACTCTTTACATTTCCTTGTCACGAATCCCACGTTAGGATTTTTCCTCCTCGGCAAAATCACTTCATGGCCGAAAGTGACAATTAGTGTCAACTTTTTTGTCACTTTCGGCCGGCCAAGTTTTTTTTTATGGCCGAAAGTAACACTTTCGGCCAGTTGGCCGAAAGCAACATTTTCGGACTGTTGGCCAATTTTTCTGGCTTTCCTCCACCCCTATAAGAAGGAGTGTTTGGCAGTAGAGAAAAATACGAACAAAAAGTTTACACAGCACGAAAGCATACTTTTCAGTCTCAAAACATCTGTGCTTCTACTCCTTCTTTAAGCTATACTGTGTTCATAGCCGTGTCTTGCTCGCCGGATTCCTTGTTTGAGTGCTCAAACATTGAATCACTAGCAAGTTTTATCCTAGGAAACCTAGGCCACAACGCTCCTAGCATCTTTGGGAGGTGGCAAATAAGGTTTTAAGGAAAGAGTGCTCACTCGACTCTTGCAAAAACCCAACACCAAACACTAGCCAATTTTCTTCATCTTTTCTTCCCTCTTTCGGTTTTGGATTATGCTTCTAAGCAAATATCCTCCTTTTATGTTATAGCTTGGTTGGAATTATAATCTGTGTATTATAAATTCCATTTGGTTGATATGTGTATATCTTTTCCGTAGATATTCATGCATATAACCATGGTGGTCTGATTTATATATATATGTGTGTGTGTATATATATATATATATATATATATATATATATATATATATATATATATATATATATATATATATATATATATATATATATATATATATATATATATATATATATATATATATATATATATATATCGGATATAATATATCGAATAATATTTTATATACTTTGTGTGTGTATATATAAATATTATTGTACGATATTAAATCGATTTTTGGTTCAATTATCACCAACAATCTTAAAACCTTATTCCTTGTTTTCCCGTTGGTGGTTGTCTCGAATTTCCTTGAAGAAATGGAGAACCCGGTGTTGCCAATCGTTAACAATGGGGAAGAAAATGTTGTTGAAAACAACAATGGAGGAAACGGCAACAACGTTGCTAATTCCCAAGCTACACTAGTGAACGTTGGTTCACAAGATGGTGGGAGCACTGCGGGATATATTCCCATGTCTCGGGTACCTTCGGTACCGAGTGGTTCGGCAGAAAAGCCGGAGAAGTTCACCGGTGTTGGTTCGAACTTCAAGAGGTGGCAACAGAAAATGTTGTTCTACCTAGCAACTCTCGGCTTGGCGAGGTTCTTATCCAAGAGTGTTCCCAAGTTGAAGGAACAAGATGCACAATCCGTGATGGCAGTTGACTATTGGAAGGATTCGGACTTCCTTTGCCGAAACTACATCCTGAATGGATTGTGCGACACGCTATACGATGTATATCGAATGATAAGCACATCAAAAGCGTTGTGGGAAGCTTTGGATCATAAATACCGAAGTGAGGATGCCGACTCAAAGAAATTTGTGGTTGGCCGATTCCTCGACTTCAAAATGGTTGATTCAAAAACTGTGCTAAGTCAGGTAGAAGATTTGCAACTAATCTTCGATGAGATCCGTGACGAGGGCATGGTGCTAAGTGAAGCCTTCCAAGTGGGATCTGTGATCCATTTGTTGCCTCCAGGTTGGAAGGACTTCAAGAACTACCTTAAGCATAAGCGAAAGGAGATGAATCTGGAGGACCTGATCCAGCGACTCAGGATTGAGGAAGGGAACAGGACGAATGATAGGAAAGTTCCTATCATTGTTGGCGCTAAGGCCAACGTTGTGGAGCACGGTAAGAGCTCCAAGAGGAACAAGAAGGACAAACGAAAGCTAGGTCCGAAAGGTGGCGTTACCAAGAACAAGTTTCCTGGTGAATGCTACAATTGTGGCAAGCATGGCCACAGAGCATCTGAATGCAAGGCTCCAAGGAAGAAGAACAAGAGTTCTGAAGCCAATGTTGTTAGAGACAGCAATCAGAAGGAGGTCGAGATTAGCCTTTCGGCTATGGTGACCGAGGTGAACCTCGTGGGCTCAAATCCTCGTGAATGGTTCATTGATATCGGTGCAACCAGGCACTTGTGTTGCAACCGAGAGATGTTCAACACCTTTGAGACCGTTGATGGTGAAAAGGTATGGATGGGAAACTCTGTTCAGTCTGCTGTTGAAGGCATGGGCAAGGTGGTTCTGAAGATGACTTCCGGGAAGGAACTGACGTTGAACAACGTGCTGTATGTTCCTGAGCTGAGGAAGAATCTAGTGTCTGGCTCTCTGTTGAACAAGCATGGCTTTCGCATGGTGTTCGAGTCAGACAAAGTAGTTTTGTCCAAGTTAGGGATGTTTGTTGGTAAAGGATATGTAACTGATGGGCTTTTTAAGCTCAGTGTAATTCCTGTTATCAATAAAAGCAAAGTTAATTCTGTTTACTTGCTTGAGTCTTCTAATCTATGGCATGGTAGACTATGTCATGTTAATTTTAATTCTATGCGTAGATTAATTAGCATGGACCATATTCCTAACTTTAAAATTGACACAAATAACAAGTGTGAAATTTGTGTTGAGGCAAAACTAACGA